CAGAGGTGGGTCCACCATTGCATGGTAACCAAGTTGCCGAACCACATGTGGGCGACTTCGTGGGCCACAGTCAGCGCAACACTGCGTTTACTTATCAGCGGGGACTGCGTCTCATCCACCAACAACATCACCTCCCTGTTTACAGGAAGATTGGCTTGATTTAATCCAATTAACAATGTGATATAAGCGCAGCGATCCTCCCACATTAATTGGTGACCAACACAACCACACTATCTGGCCTATGGTATGATGACAAGTAAAATTACATAAGGTGATCATTCCTTGAACAGCTGCCTAGCTATGCAGCTTTGATGAGTGATATGACCTCCTTCACACGACCCGCTGCCCACAGTGTAAACTCACTCAAGCATTTAAATCTGAGAATGAAATAGTGCTGCTCATGTCAATAGAGACCTCTTCACATTCACTCAACCGGTCTTCAATGGCGGCTTCATGTCTACTACAACATTTGTCTTAGCACTTGCACAGACGCAAAAAATCCTTATCACTACCATTCTTACCTCAATTAGTAGAGCGTATCCGCTCTATAGCCCAAACCACATTTCTTCATTAAGGACGACGATGGATTAACAGCACAAGCACAAGCAGGCTTGACTACACTGAGAGGTTTTAAAAGAGAGCAACCACTACCATCGTTAACATTTCAGAAAGCAGACCGACAAGGAGACGTACCGATAAGTCAACAGTCCCCAATTCTCCATTGCGCCCATTGCAAAGTCCGGAATAGCCACCAGATCCAGCTTTGGCAAGGGATAGCCCGTCCCAAACACCTTCGTGTAGAATGGCAACGCACTCCTCGCCATCCTTAGAGCATGTAAGCCCAAATGCGAGCGGTTGGGAGGCGTATAGACTCGAATCCGCACACCGACTACGTCCTCCGCCTCGGTGTAATCGAAACACCCAACTATGAAGGCCACAATGTACGTCGACATACGTGGCGTCTCATCAAATTCCACCTTAACATAAGAATGTGAGATTGCCGTTGGCAGACCATACTTCTCCACTTCGCACTTTTCCACTGGGTTCCGAGACACCTCAGGCTAGAGGAGAAATAATAAAGACTCGTCGTTACTCGCACCTCGCGCAATTGATCTGACTACGTCACTCAGCACTTCAATACTAAAAGTTGACACCATGAAGAAAAAATTTGCCCAACATATCGGTAGGAGAGAAGAATGCCTATGGCCTTTAGCAAGCGCATCGCACCACATTTGTCGTGATTCTCAAGGGCGGATTACCCCAAGGTAACCACAAAGAATGATGCTTCAGTTGCCAATCTGCGTTTGCGCACCCGCGGCCAGTCAAAGGAGCCCTGAACGAGGGATCGACAAGCCGACCGATAATACGAACAGAAACGATACGATTAATGCCCCGTCTACATCAGACCTACCAGTGCTCTGTACAGGCGCGGCGTGGTAAACAGTCTGGCTCTAAGACTCTGTCACCCACACCTCCTACCCACACCCCACCCCACCCGACCCCCCCACAATGTAAACGCTTTCAACACAAGACCACCGTAATAACCCCAACTCAACAACAAATTCCAGCATGATGCACGCACGACGAAGAGGGAGGAGCAACAAAAAGCCTCAATAGCCGTAAAAAAACCTCACAAAATAAACCCGTCAGATACCCATACGGCTCAATTAGGAACGAACATCGACACCAGCCTTATTGAATCGCCACCCAAAAAGGTGATAAACATACCATGCAAGACAACGCGGTTAGATGGTCGGGAATGACCAGTGAAATACGAAACTTGGCCTTTCTGTCGGGTTCGTCGAAACAGGGAAAGGCACGACGGGCATACGTAGCCTAAAATACGACAAAAGACATGTTACCACCTTTGTTTGAGACGAGCTCCACTATGCCTCCACTTTCATAACCTCCCAAGTCTTTACCGTCCCGTGGGAATTTACCTCCACGGCAGCTTGCCAGAGAACAGCCAAAGCAACAGCTGACAGAAAGAACAAACAATGTCTGGAGGGATTGGATAACTGAATGCACAACTGGTTTCAAATATCATAGCCACTGACACAGCAAGAACACCGTTACTATTGAAGCCATAGATGGATTACATGGCCCAACTCGGGTCATTGAAAAAGTAGTAAGTCGAAACTATGGATGGTGCGTAGTGCAGGCATCTTAGACCAGTGACATGGAAAGGAAATGAAAACACTCATCCGAGGCGAAGGCAACAAAAACAAACGAGTCGCAACATTGCAATGAAATAAAATGCAAAACGGTCAACGTAATGGATCAAAAGAAGGTGGTGAAACAGTACCGAGCCGTAACAATACCTCTCCTCATATTAACCCCGATAAGTTGACCATTAAAGCACTTTAAATTAGCGAAGCAAAGACAATCACGAAGTTAACCCAAAAGCCAGCTGGAAGAACTTATTGAGAAAAAAGAAACAACTCCAAAGTGCTGTAATCTTGAGGCCAACAACAAAATACTACGCTACTCTCACAGTTGGGCAGCATAACACAATAGAGACATTACCTCAAACTGAGTGGAGAGAATGATATGTTCTTCACCATTGGAATCCTTGTATGTGCTGCGGTAAAAGCCATGCATGTCATCGGCCAAAACGCCTTTGTACACGAGACACAAATCAATATCTCCTTCCTAAATTCGAACTAATGAACAACCAACATATGCCAGGGATCATTACCGCCAGCTCAGAATCAAAGTGTATGGCTACTTTCTCCTGTTTCTCATCATACATGATCGATTTCATAGGAACTAACAAGACAATAAACGTTGTGATAAATGAAACATAAAAACTACCCGTCAATTCAGATTGCAGCGCAGAATGCCGTGCTTTCGCAGAAATGACGTTGATCTTCTTAGCGTTGAGAATTATCGAGCTAGTGGGTTGAGTGAGGAACATGCAGATTGTCACTCTTCCATGGAACGTGAAATCCTTCGCATTTGGGTAGAGCTCCAGAACATAGACTTTTGGCTCATAAATTCGAGGCAGTCTCTCGAATGTATTTCCTTTTGAAGACATTCTTGGTATATGATAAAACGCCCCCTGGAACAGCAATGCGTGGCGGTTACCACAGTCCTGGACAAGACACACCTGGGCAGTTGAGTTTAAACTCAAGGTTAGTGATATTTAAATCAAACGAAGGAAGGTTATACTTGGGTTACAATCCCAAGGATCAGTTAAAAGCGTATGAATGTGGTAAGTTTTCATTTAATATAAAATTAAACAATCCGTCTTTACGGTTAAATTTTCCTGTGCCATCGAATAAAGTATCATGTCACAATAAAAAAATTGCAAGGAAATTTTGTATAAAATTAGGATTTTATACAAAAGGATTATTTACACTCTTATTAGCCTTTCAACATATTTATTGGGTTGCTCTAAATAAATGTGCACTTGATAGAGACTATTTATAAATCGAAATTTTGTTTCTTGCAAAATGCACAGTGTGAAAAAAAATTGGCAATCATTCATCAATGCTTTGGATGCGAAATCCAAGCTTAAAAATAACCGTTTGTACCTAATTTTTTGTACCAATAGTTACATAGCGTATTGACGACAACATTTCGTTGTCATCCAACACCTTGCGTTGCTTGTATTACTCTGTCGGTCGATCACAAGTTGGATTACATATTTGTTTTGCACTCATTGTTTGGTGATCCGCCGTCCGACATGAAATTTTGGTAAAATCATCTAGGAGCTATAAGGAATACATTTGCGATACTGAGGCAAATTGAATTTGCGGTCAACTATACCTTTCCGTCTAAGAAATTTGGGAGGCTACTGTCCTCACTTTGGCGAATTCAATTTCTGCATTAGACCTTTTCTGTCCCTTTTTACATGCATATGATTAAGGGGAAATGGATGCAGTGCATTGTTTGATGCTTTTTCATAATTAGATTTCCCAGTGTAATAATGCTACCGGATCTTGCGGACATTTGCTCTCTTCTAGTGTTAGAACATTTAGTAAGTTTTTGCTAATGCTTTACGATCAATCCCCTTAGACCTCTCTTCGTGACACCAATTTTTTTGCAAAACGACCCTCGGGATTGGTAGGTAGACTTTATCCCCACTGTAATTTATTATGCAGTACCTAACAGACCTCAGCTCTATCGCCAAAGCACTGGCGCTTATTCGAGCAAATCTGCCCACTTTTCAATCACTTTTGTTGAAAATTCTCCAATTTTGTTCTAAACCATTGCTACTCCATTCTGCAAAAGACAGCCTTCTCTACCGCAATGATACACAGGCTTTATTTTCCCAACTAGGTATGTCGACACTTAATGTCACCTGCTAGGTTGCCTTCTAGAAATCCCAGACAGGAATATCTACATGTCTGTTTTATGTGCCATTAAGTTCCACTTATTAAACTCCGACAACTTTATTGTCTCCTGCATTGAGAACAGCAGCTTTGTTGAAAACTTGTACAAAGTCGCACGTTTTCTAGCTGTCAGAGAAGCAAAAGTAGAGGCACTTGATGTTCTCAGGCTTCTTGCATACAAATGCAGTTTGTCATTGCTATTTATTGTCTGAGATATTGTATCTTTAGCTGACACTTTTGTAAAATTACTGGAGAATGAAGGTGTGTCAACGCTCTGTATCGATGTACCAGGTAAATCGGTTTTGCCGATGAATGAGACCCTCTCAATCGTGTTACTACACTGCCCAGACATTAAGCTATTAATGAATAAAGAAGAGATGAGTCCAAGCCTTTTGGACTTTCTGACAATTCGAGTTCCACAGCATCTCCACGCACAAGACCGCCTTTCACCCAGTCGTCAAATTCTACATCAGAAAGCTAGCATTGGCAACCTTCTAGCCTTACTATCATCTATCAGTGAGAGCAGCATTGGACTTGCGGAAGTGAATGTTAAAGCATTATCTTCTCAACTAACTGCCTTGGTCGACAAGAAAGACAAAAATAAGGAGCAGCTAGCTTTGCTTTCTGCTTATTTGAGTGTTTTTTCTATGCTAGAGGGTAAACAAGTAAGTCATTTTTTTTTACTATTGGTCTCTAAGGCCTTACGGGTTCTTTTGAGCATTGCCGCTGATGCTATGCAACCAATGGCCATAAGAAGGCAGGCATCTGTTTGCCTCTCGCGTTTTTTGCTCGAAGGCTTGAGAGGAGTGACTAATGATAACAACATCAGAAGCCTATTACATGAAATTTATAGATGTAACAATTTCTTTTCTTGGCTACGCCTAATTCACTAGACCTGCAATGCTCCAAAGACTGTGCCGAACTGATGGAAGTTGCGGTTCACATTTGCCTTTCTATGTTTATTGGCGGAAATGCTTCTACACAGAACGTAAGCTTTGGTATAGGAGTTGGGAAGGAATAATTTGTTGGATAAAGTCTTGTCCTTGCACTACTTGGAGGTTGACTGATTTCTTCAGATCATCAGGCATTCATTCAGTCTGGAGACTGAAATCCAATTGCGACTCATACATCAACGCCACTCTCACTCATGACCGAATGATCTGCTCCCATTTGAGCAGTGCACTTTTTTTTGCAAGTTAATCCTCAAATTTATCTCTTGTTTCAGCCATGTGCCTGTTCGAGCCCCCATCAATCCATCACAATGCACTTGTTAACGTAATCTTTTCAGTCATAGGTCCGCTATTTCCTTTTAGATGATGCTCGAGCTAAGTGTGATTGAAATGGTAGTGAGCATTCTTGAGCAATGCCTCGATCGCGAAGATTCCGTTCTTGAGAGCGTTATCTTTTCTGGTTTACTCTGCCTATCATTGTTTTGTGATGGAATTACGGAACGGTAAAAACATTTTCTTAGAGAAAAACTTTTATCAGATGCCTGCGTTTTGGTGCCAGTGGAACGCACATACTCATTGTTCTTCTCATTCGCCTTCAAACTCAACTGTGCAACGGGGAATGCCCACTAGCCTATGGTTGTTTGGAGGCCAAGCAGCCAATGGGGGATTGGTCCCCTCCCTATCGATTGGTCAGCTGTGCGGTGAATGCTGTTCAATCATGTGTAGTGAATTGTAGTAAAAACAGACGCCAATTCATCCAGCATGGAGGGATCCCAATGTTATTAAGCATTTTAGAGGTATGTAGTGTAGCAATTTAAATCAGATCGGAACTTTTGAGTTTTGCATAAAGGAGACGATCTGTGCTAATATTTAATGCGGTCTCACCTCTCGCCGCTACAGTTGCAAATGAACCGTCGTGAGATGTTAACTCCAACAATTTTTACAGTACCTTGTCAACAGTGACAGATTTGACCATTTCGCTTGGTCTGGAATGTCCTTTTATTTGTTAGTTAACCGTTGTAGTAAAATTTAAGTTTACCTAGACAAGCCAACCCTCTTCAGATCTTACCTCGTCTTCAATGTCTGAAAAGCAGGTTCATTCATGGTCCTGGGAGTGGATGGCTTGATCTTCCACTCGGCGTGCTGACTGAATGTTTGCAGCCCTAGTCTACCATCTATGATGGAAAAAATTATCCTTGAAACATCATCTGGCTATCTTGACATAAAATTTCGATCAGTACCTTTCTCCCTAATTTTTACCTTTACTGACGTGGAGTCATCTTACCAAGATTAGCACCTCTTTCATACAACGGTAGTGCGTATGGTGGAATTCACGCCACTCACATTCGGGAGAATGTTTGCTACTTGCTAGCTCCTGTGGCCCTACGAATGTAGCCCTTGCAACAAACGGTCACTGAACACTTTTCCTGACTTGCCTAAGAAGCGCTCATCCTCAGATTAATGCCTTAACCCATATTCTCTTTCAGTGGGTTCCCTCAGCATTAGTTCAGCCAATTCTTCGATGCATTTGCAGTATTTGTGAGCAGGAAAACGTGGTAAAGATGGAGCTAATCACATGGCGTGGTGTCAGACAGCAACTTGATATGCCTATTGATGAATCACTTTTTGATAACCACGAAGTGAAGGTATCAACGATGGCGGAGGAGTTGGTGCTGAGCATGAATAATTATCGGATTGGATGTCAGCGGCAAAATGATTGTAACCTGGCAACCTATTTGTGTTGGCTTTGGAGATGGAATGAAGAAAGAATACGGCAGAGTAAAGGATACCCACTTTACTGACTTTTGTACTTATCTCTAAGTTTAAGCTTACAAGGCACTGTGAAACAGTAAATGAAGGATTAGAACAAGCTGTTTTTAACTCAGTATGGAGAGAGCAGGCTACACAGCACAAGATGAGTCACCTTTAATAGCCTTCGGCAGATGCCGAAAAAATTGCTAGAAATGAGGAGTGATTGCCTGATAGGTGGGTTGCTGGACTGCTGGCTTAACGAATGGATTGATAGGAACAGGATTAAAGAACTTTGGAACCATAGAGTATTAGGATTTATGAGTTGATTGATGAAAAATCGATCTATAGATTGATCCAGGACGGGCACCTATTCCCAACACCCTCGCTCGTATTACCTAAATGAAATGAGTAGAACCCTTACTGCCTTAATTCACTTACTCCTTTTCAGGTCAAAAAAATATGCTACATATTGAAGAGTGGAGTCCTCTCACGGGGTTTGATGACCTCAATCTTCTCGTCTACCTCCTTTTGCGCTTTTTGGACTTTGGTAAAGACTTCGATCTTGACGTTGGTGACCAAATCACTATGGTTGACATTGAAAACTTCCCCAATGCCAAGGTGAGTCAGCAGCCAATGTAATCTGTGCTCGTTTTTCAGGAAGATGAGGTAATTCGACAGGTTCGGGGGGAGCTTAGAAGATGCGGCATCAATCCAATCATTGAAGATCATGAGAAGTTGGAAAAAGCTGTCCAGATGTCGAAGGCAAGAGTAGACCAAGTAACGCGAAACAAACTAGCTATAATTAAGAAGGCAACCGAGAATGATGCTTGCAGAGAAGCCGAAGCTTATGCAATGGCAAGTTAGTCACAATACAATGCTAAATAAAACATCAAGAATGTATGCATATGCCGGCTAAACCAAATTCCTTCCATCTCTTTTAATGATTATTGGGGTAACGCTTTTCGTTGGGATTTCCTTTGCAGCCCATAGCTGTCATGCAAAATTGCAAAAAAGCTCTAAAGAGGAAATCGAATGCTCAACTGAGGACTTCAAATTACGCCTACCTCTGCGCTGCTAGGCGAGAAAAGGCGCGAGCGATTGATGAGTCAAGACGGCGTCGCCAAGATGGAAGTTACATTACCCCGACAACGACTGATACTTCATGCGTGATGAATACATTGCAATGCAGTGACGCACGTAGTTATTCCGATGGTCTAATCGGAATTGATGAGGTTCGCAAAAAACTTTCCTTACAAAAGTGCTGCTACTCGAGGACTTGATTAGGTTTTGTGTATTCAAGGGACACATCTTGTGCACAAGAGAAATTTCCATTTCTAAAAAAATTCATCGTTTCACATGGCCAAATTTTTAAAATTGCACTAAATTAGGCTTGCATCTTCTTTTAGAGGAGCTTGGAGGCAAAAAGTCTTACTGTCCAACAGCTCGACACAACGGGTACTACAGTACACCAATTCAAACGTAATTAATATTAATAATGAAAAGGAGATCTGTTAATGTTTTTAATAAGTGCTGTTAATAACTAAATGTTAATAAATAAACGCTAAGTTATTGAATAATCTGCTGATAACCTCCTGAATTGGCTACAAACTTGCCGAATTGTGTACAAGGCTCAATGCTTGTATTGCCGCAGTTCGTCGACTTAGGTGAGCAATAATAGCATGCAAAGAGGGCTCATATTCCTGGCAGTTGGCGCGATCATATCTATACAGCATAACATTCTTTTAATAAACGAGCAGAATAGTCTGTTTCGTCAATGGGTGGGTCGATGGCCCTAGTGAATTCTCGAATTTTCCGCGCTCTCACTCCTGTTGATCTGTAAGGTCCAGGCATTGTTGGCGGCGTCGGGGAGCACGCGTTTGTATTTGATGTTGCTATCAGTAAGTTAGTACTTGCCGTTTGGATAAGATGATCAAGGCGTAACCGATTGGATCCTCTCTGACTTTTGCAATCGGTCTCTGTGGCATGCTCATTTGGCTGTCCAACTTATAAGCCACTCGTTTTGCACCGTCCACTCCCTGCAAAAGTACGCTACCAAACTCTACATTTTTTATTGCTGACAGATTGGGTAGTACCTATTTAGCGCTAACGCCACGTTGGGCTGTGCTGCCAAGGAAAGTATTCCTATGTAGCAAAGTTGGGCCCGACTTTTCAAATCCTATTTACACTGCAACCCTTAGGCATTCGTCTGTGCTGAGGCAGTGGTATAAAAGGTATTATGACGGGAGCTGTGTTCTTTATCTTGCATCCATTTGTTACTTCACGGGAGCTACTTAAAACCGCCTTTCATTCATTTTCCAAATCAACCATGTGGCCTGGAACCAAACCAATTCAATTTATGAATAGCTTTAAAACTGGAGAATTTTATGCTTATGTATCGAAAATTTGCAAAAATAGTGGCTAAACTTCCAGTTTACTGAAAGTGGACACATTAACCTGCGCTTCGAAATCGTCGCCCATCTCGTTTTGCGGTTTTCAGCTAGCATTTACACTGACTCTCACGTAAGTTTAAGCGTAACATTTTTACCTGCGATAATGCCCTATGTAGTGAATCAGTTAAGTTATTATTCAACACAAAACTGTGGAAGTAAGCGTCGTCATAGCAATAAGTGCAATTTGCTCCGCTTAATGCTTCCACTCAATTTTGTACTAATTTAACGTGGCTTCAAGGAAGTTATGTGATTTTGCAGAAACCATTTTCGACTGAATGCTGCTAACACCCTCTGACCAAGTAGGGCATACAACGTATTTTCTGGATCAAAACGCCTCAATCACTTCTTCAGTTCCAATTTAGTACATGGATAAATAACAGCAAGAAACGTGTGTAACACAAAAGCGTATGAACATTAGTGCAGTTGTTGCGTTCCGGGACTCCCCATCTGGTAGAAGAAGGCATGAAGTGGAGTTGAATACATGCATTCTAGGGAGAGCAAAGGGATCAAACCTGACCTTGTCCCGAAGGCTAGCCCACGTTTACAGGGGCCAGACGAATCTTAAAGTAACCGCCGGATGTCAGATAGTCACAGAAACAAAGTGTTACAGCAATTAATACACAACAACACTGATGGGCGATTCTTCAAGCCCTGTTACTTTACAGTAGGCATGTTGGCATTTTCCTTTTTGCAACCAATCGCTCTTACGTTAGCTATCGCTATGCTAGTTTCGGATCTGTTCTTCATCAGCTTGGGGTGGCGTAACAATGGAGTCGAGGAAAGGTATGTACCACCTTGTAATAAAACGGATTGTGGCATACTAACCTTATGCTGGAGTTTTACTTTAAACGTTCCATGCTAAATGTATGTTGTTCTTTTAGGTCCTGTTTGGTAGGTATCAGCCTGTTCTCCATTGGAGCTGTTGATACACTACCAATTGTAATCGTGGAAGTAGCTCGAACTTCGTCACCAAAGTTTGTGGTAAAGTTGCTCCTGCAAGTTGACCAAATTCACCTAAATGTGATTTTAAGTAAATTAGTAAGGTTGTTGCCATAGCAGAATCGATTATTTACGGACCATGGCATTCAATCTCAAAAATGATGAGAAGTAATGAAATGCAACCGATTGGTTCCTTTAGCCATAGCTCAACTTCCCACAGACAAGGCAACTTCTCCAATAGAAAACCAAATATGGCAATCCTTAATACATTTCGCGTAAAGTATCCACACAATCACTGATCCATTAAATCTGGTAGGGCGTTTGCTGAATCCTTTCCTACTATCTGTCCCTAGACCACTAAAGATTAGTACGGAAAACCTGCACAAGAAAGACTACCACAATACTGAAGCACACGATTACTGGATACACGTCGCCAGTGGAATCTTTGTTTTGCATTACAATAAATACTGTAGCACAGATTGGTTGGTTAAATTTTGATTCGTTGAGAAGAAGCGTGAACTCAAGCTGAGTGCGAGGGCCATTCCCAGCCCTAGGTCTGCTGCCCGACACTTTGCTCATTGCTACGCGAAAATGTCCATAAATATTCATCAGACATCCTTTCTTATAAAAAAGTGAAATATGACCACCTGATGTTTGGCGATTACGTTAGTGTTAATTCGGCCCTGCATACATGGTTAAACCAAGGTCCTATCCCTTCTTCTCCTCTTATAATGCATGTATTCTGCCCAACTTAATGTCTTCTTCCATCCAGCTAAAAGTCACAGGGTTCTATATTGCCTTTAAAGCTGCTCCATGCCAAATGCACATCACTAGCTTATGGCTAAATGTCCGTTATTGGTAGCAGGTAGTTTAAAATCAAGAGGAAATTATAATGATCCATGGAATTCCATAAGGCATAACTTAGGACGTTTCATACGCGCTCAATAACTTATCATAGTACTTGTTCGTTTGACCGCCTTCAATTTGGCATATATATTAACCGCTTTATAAACACTGCCAGCTGGAGTGCTTTTGGCCGACAACAAAGCAATACATCTGTAGCGTCCCGAGGCTTCCCATAAGGTGGAAGACATAAGTGAGGCTGAGTACATGCATTTAGGAGACGACAGGGCAAATGGGGGCTGAGCGTGGCCCGAAGGCCAGCCTACATGTACAAGGGCCAGACAAATTCTAAAGTGACCGCCAAACGTCAGGTAGCCACATAAACAAAGCATTAAAACCTCTCCAATTTTCGCCTAAGCACATGTATCTAAACAAAGTCAATGCACTTAAGGCATCTCATTGCCATCCTACACTAACATTTTCCGCTTTACTCGCTCCGATTGTGTTGGCTAGTCTTAGGACTAGATCATAGACCCTTTTTGGCTCCTTTTACTAAGCAAGAAGTGTCCGGTTTTAGAATCTGCTGCTTACCCTCAGACACCTGAATCTGGGACTGCATGAGAGGGTTGGTTGTGGAAGCATTATTCGGCAAAAGAAGGAGAAGGATCGATGAGACGGAAAGCGGATGCCCCTGGGAAGGAAACTTCAAACTTATCACGTGCTAGATTCTTGCTCGAATTGATTTACCACCTCACCTCTATAACGGCAAGTTTAAACACACAAGTATATATTAGGGTTTGTGCAAGACTCTTCATTCGACTGTCTCTGTGGCTGGCAGCCTCTGTGGTATTTACCACGCCATCGTTTTTCTATAATGGCCTCTGAGTCAGTCCAGCTTCAGTCTCTTCCTCTTCTTTTTACACACATGCCTTTAGCGCTATTCATGCCCTCTGCTACGAAATGGGAGGTCTAGGGGCGTCAATTTAATTCCATATTCTTTAAAGATGTGTTGATTTGTTTATGTGACTACTTATCATTTGGTGATCACTTTAGCATTCATTTGGCCCTTGTACTCGTGGATTGGTCTTCGACCCACGTTCAGGTCCAGTTGCTTTGTCCTATTGAAATACAAGTATCCAGTTTCGCTTACTGCCTTCATCCTGTGGGAAAGTTTGATATGCTGCAAAGGAATACAAAAATAACTTTAATAGTATCATCTGTAGCGTTCTGAGGCTTTTCATAGGGTAAGGAAAGGCAGTAAGAGAAGCTGGATACATGCATTCTAAAGAGGCCAGAGAAAATGGGCCTGGGCATGGCCCAAAGGCCAACCAACAGGCACAAGGGCAAGACAAAGCCTAAAGTGACAGCCAAACGCCAAGCACTCACATAATCAAAGCATCACATCATCTATGCGAATGTCAGAAGCTTTGATGCAATATAGTCAGATGCGTAAGCCTGCATAATAGGCACGTTTCTTTTAACTTGCTCAAGTAAACTATAAGCCCACCCGCATGATTGATATAATCCCAAAACCTACTGGGTTGAATTAAGTTGAACAAAGATAGAGGTCTGTTATTGTTTGGACAAGAATGCTTTGGTCACGGGAACAACACTCTGCAGACACTAATGTTTGTTATAATGAGTGTGATTAGTGGCAGATATTCGAGTATCTCGATCTCGTTAAGATGGGTGTGTTAAATGTGTTCGTTTCCTTTTATGTTTCTCCTAAGGAGGTTTTCCTCTTTTTGCTATTTCACACTTCTCTGCTCTTTTTATTTAGAGTTTGCTTATTTGTTGATCGTTTATTGCTCTTTGCTTTAATTACGAACTTACGCTCCTGTTGCCTGCCGAACTGGACCCCTCTTCTTTTATGCCTCTTAGTTGTTGTTGCGGGTTTGATGCCTTTTAAATTGTTTCAAACATGATTTGGTCGGATTTATTTGCGGATTTTGTTTTCATTAATGTTTTTCATAACCGGCACTGTATTTAGGTTCAAAATCTCCTTCAGAGAACCCGCCTTCAGATTTCTTACTTGAATACCGTAGTGGCTCTGCCTTTGTCTCATCACTAAAAGAAATTCATGCTCACATGAAATCTCTTGAAGAATCGCTTACTTCTACCCTTCGCGATTATCACGAGAATTTTCGTCCTGTTGCTGTTCAAATCACTCAAAACGCTGTGGAGTTGCGTCGCCTTCAGAGCTCCATTGATCATCTGAATGTGGAGTTTCACAATAAAGCAAGTTTGACACTTGTGTCTCCGTTCAGGTGGCGCCTTGCAAAATTCGCTCTTTGCGTCCCGCTTTCACTTTTCACACTGGTGTCTTTAGGCTATTGTCACTGCTCACATGGCAGTCATACCTCCTATCCTGCTTAGTTTTATCTTCAAGTATGCCAGATTTCTGATGATTCTGTTCCCATGGCGGTAGTAAGTCTTTGTCTTTGAAGAAAAATTTGACTGATCCTGTTTATGAGAATCTAAAATTTTAAACCATTTTCTTTATATAAGGTCTGAGTGTGTTTAGCTCCATGGTTACGTGGCATCGAGAGTTGGCTGTCACTACACTAGCGATCACAAGTCCGTAAGATCATTAATACCTTGGTATTCTTCATTCAGATTAAGACCTGTGTTTCTAACTAGGGCTTTGCTTCTTCCATCTTATCTAGGTTAAACCACAAATGGAGGGAGTGGAGATCTCAGCAGAAGGTCTCCCGATTCGCGGGACTCCTTCCATGGTACATTCACAAGCTGTAGAAGAACTAGAGGCTCTCCTTAAGCTAAATAATAGCTGTCAGCATCTTCTCCGTCTCCATAATGGATTGGAAGACCTTGGTGAACGAGTTATTGATCTCCTGCGTCGTTGCAGCCTTCGTAATCGTGGAAAGCGTTTGAGTGCCACAATGGAGGCCAATATTGATGCTGACAGTGATGATGAAGAGGATGACGACGATCTGGACTTGGAAGAGGATTACTTCGATGAATGGAAATGTGATTCGTCTGGGAGTTGTGGAAATATCGAGTATGTTGAGGGACGAAGTGCCTGTTTATTAGTGTGGCTTGGACATTATGTAACTTGTATTTGTAATTTGTATTTTTAAGCGCCGAGGTTTCAGCAATCGTGGCATCGATTAAAGAAGTAGAAAGTCAACTAGCAGTGGATACATTCTATGCGAAGTCGGAAGTTGTGCTCTTTCAATCCTTCCTACGAACTTGGTTGGATCGAAAGGTGGGATGTCGCTTACCATTTTAATAGACTTCTTCGTATTTGTGAAGGCTTGCCTTTCATTTGTTCACCAATTTAGCGACTGCTGCGGGAATTTGTTGATCATTATTGGTCGAACATGGTACAGTTGAACTTCAATCCGAAGGATAAATCGATCATTGGAAAGTTGGAAATCCTCGGCACCACTGCTGAATTGCAAAGTATCATTAGTTTGATGAGCGCACTTCATGAGGCTGAGGTGAGCCACTTGGGAGATCCGTCTACCTATCTGTAACAAGATGGTATGCCTTTATCAACGTCCTCCCCATCGTTTTAGAAGCGAATTCGAGATACTGGTGATGGCATTTGGAAGTTGCTCTTCGTTCCTTGGATGAAGTTTGTCACCTCTGAAAGAAATTCGACCTCTAAACACCTTAGATTTAGAGTAGGGGTTTTAGTTTATCAAGCTCTGTTCAGGAAAAGAAGAGTCAATGTTTGCTCTTTGACTTTTTCAGATTAACGAAAGTACTGGCAAAGATCCACAAGTCTTCTGGCACCTGGAGCTTATTGAAGTGGACGGGAAAGAAGTGGATGGGATGACTTTTATTTTTGACACCTGCCGTCAACTGAAGTCTACAATGCGTGATTTATCAACTAAATTTTTTGGCCTATCAATTGATGGTAGTCATCGTCTCATTGATGTATGCGTGGCCGAATCGAAGATCTTTGATATGGAAATGGCTAAAGGCCTTTTAGAGGGTTGCTTTCTCCCAAATTTTCCCGATGCACTTGCCTCTACCAATGATGATACTGTGCAATATAACGAAGATGACTTTTCCAAGGTGATGAATGGCTACCTTTCTGCTGGAAAGTTTGTCAGTAGCGATGTGCATCTTTAATGTCATAATCCTCCCCCCTTTATAGTTAATTTTGGCCACAAACGGAACAATTTCTCCCCTCGTTACAGCTGCTCAGGAATTGGGCTATTTTCAGCAGGATTCAGTGGAATGTCTTTCAGAGTTCCTGAAAAATCTTCCTCATTTGACCGTTCAACGCCAGGACGAGGTTTATGTTCAGACACTAATGCGGATTTTAAAAGATGATGCCAATTTTGCACTTCTTAAGAAGGTATTGTTAGTGATTTAGTGCATCTCTTATGTCCTATATTTAAATCAAACATGGGGTTTTTTAATGTTAGTAAATGATTACAGTTCCTGATCTCTATCATTGACTAGCATTAGGCATCGTTCCCTACTTAAATGCATTTGAGTAGGCCTCTTCGGAATCTAGGTTGGTGGGAGCACGACCAAACAGGTCGGGTCTGACGATGGGAAGGAGAACAGCACTAGCGGAATGACGGAAAGTCAACTAGAAGAGGTTGAACTGTCGAAACTCTTTCGCAATGTTCATCTTGAATTCCCCGTCTGCCTCGTGAGTGCGTCTCACGGACCCTTCGCCCAAATAGTTTCATTGTTAACTGTCACTAGTTTTCCTACCAACAGGTCTCCAAAGCGGTAGTTCTTTTGCTCAGACAAGTGGATCAGATAATTAAAGATGCTGGTATCTGTGACAAGGACCACATTTTGATCGTTTTGCGCCGAATTCCGCATCTCATTCACCTTTACTCGCATTGTGTGCCAACTTTACACGCGGAACGCATGAAAAATGACCTCAAGTTCGTGGGTAAGCAGAGGACTACCTGAAGACTGAATATGCATCCTCGTTACCACCCTATCTTTTGTATTTTTACAGCTATATACCACAACGATTGCATGTACCTCGCCCACCAATGCTTGACCTTGGGTCGCCGCAAAATCTATCCCCTTGTCGAATCAAGTGGCAGCGAAGAGAGTGACCTTCGCACTCTCGCATCTATCTCCACCCTTCAACTTGTTAGTCCTCTCCGAAGTTCGGCTACCTCTGCACTATTGAACCGCCTCCGTGAATCGAAGGTTCAGCTAGACGACCTATTCAAAAGTTGCCGTGGCCTAAAGGTTATTTCACAAACAATTGGTCGCTTAAATACCTATAGTAGCGGCTGTTTTGCGCAGACACCTTTTTGATTTCCAGAATTGCGCCAGTGAAGGCAGTGAGGCATGCGAGAAGGCCGTTTTGGGTTGCATCTCTCTCCTTCTTTCCAACTTTAATGCGCTCAATCTCCTCCCACTTACCGTCTGTTTACGTATCATGGGTGGGTTTTGTTATATTTTTCATTAGTGGATAATCTTTTAGGCGTCCTTTCCGATGAGTTCGTGCGACTTCTCTGCAATGCCGTGGTAGAACTGGAGGACATAACCACGGTGGAGTGTTCCACGCTGCTGCGTTTGATAGACTCAACTTTGAAATCGGTAAATTACTCCCCTACTTACAAATTTATAGGTACGGTTATATAGGTCACTTTGTGGGTAGTAAATTAGCTGGCGTTATACAGGGTCACGTACGCAGTTTCTGCAAAGCACGAAGCTAATTAATTCTCAAACGAAAGACTCGTGTGGGTACTTAAATGACCGAGTCTGGCAATTGGCGATAGTCCTCCCTGAGTTCTTTTTCATTAGGACAGTGGTGTTTATTGTCATCTGTCAGGTACTCGTCTCCATCTCAAATCGCTTCACTTCTTTCCAATGCAAATTATCCGGATTTAGTGTGCATAGTTAAAAAATTTATTGTTTTTGTTTATGTGAATTATTTAGACATTCAAAATGACCAATCTTAACGTGAAGTACTGTCTCATTCACTTTTGTGAGAAGGGGAATATTCTCGAATGTTCATCAGCATTCTTTATGGTCCTCTTTCGCCGCACTACCTGCGCACATAATTTTTGGGGGTGTTGAAGTCTTCACATTTTTAACCATTTTAATTCGATCAAAGTCGTGCAATAATCCTTTTTTTATTCCTACTAGATAACTCAAATGTTTGAAAGACACCTGGACGTCTTGTATGTTCCATCCATAAGCGGTTCATTTCCTGAAAATTGTGAAAAGGTACGGAAAAATTTCAAAATAAAGCGCGGAAGATATCCTTTGTTTTTAAATCCAAATTTAAGCATTTGGTGTCTTGGAGTCGACTCATTAGTGATTAACTACTTCCTTTAGCCATGGGGTATGTAACTCCGATGTAGTGTGTGCATCAAAGTGCCAAATCTTACTCTAAAAGTCCCTCTTAATGTCCAGCAATTTTGAAGGACTTGACGGATGTTTGTTGGCGAAGTTAGGCCTGCTCTAGTGCCGTGCCGTGCCTCTCCTTCGCCTCTAAACCAATCATTTTTTCGACCTTGAGAAGATAAACAGTCTCTTCGGCCAATCACTTCAAGCCCTAGTAATGACTACGCTTTCTATTTCGCCTGTTCAGGCGCGTCGATGCCATACTGCTTTTTGTTTGTTAGCTGCTGTTTTATCCAATTGTAGCCTTGTGGTGAGATTATTTTCAATTTTGAAGGCGAATGGTTTCGTGTTCATGGCTCGGCCTTCTTAGCCCATACCATGACTCACACCTAATTTAATGGTCCCATGAATTGGAAGCTGGTTTAGTATAGAAATAAAGCAACTTTCCCCTTAACTAGGCATTCAGATCAGGAGGAATCTTCTTACCTGTGGTCAAATGCGAATTTACTAGGGGGCTCATGCGCGTGACTAAGCTTATTAGCAAACATCCTGCATCGCCTTCCCAAGGCATTCGATTCATACCCTTCTTTCAGGGCGGCTCATTGGTAGCCTTCGCCAGCAACACATTTTTAACGCTTTGGAACCTCCATCCACTTTTAATGTGTGTACGTGACTGCAGGGTTGAATTTTTTGCCTCTGGTATACATATGCACGCGCTGTGTTTCTCGTTGCAATCACCTTTACTCGGAAATGGTGAACCCTGGGTTAAATTGATGCATCGGTGCATCGAGGAAATTAGATCTCAAGACTTACTTGGCCGTGTCTGCATAGGCAGATTTTAAACGTTCATGAACATAAAGTGCCTGCTGGCCTTTTTCCTGTCACACAGAATGTGACCGTACTTTTGGAGCGACGTATCCCTTCTTGGCAACGTCTTGTCAGTATTCGTACCATTTTGGCTGCTGCGTCATTAGAAGAAATCCGTTTCCTTGCCATTCCACGTACCACCACTGCAACTTCGCTCCGTCTCTCCACTGATGAGATATGCCGGCTGGTGCGTGCCCTCTTCCGTCCTTCTACTGTGCGTTCAACCCTCCTCCACGACTTGGCCGATGGTGGTAATGGAGGAGATGGTTATCGGTGAAATTGATTGTTGGTTTTCGCTGTTCAAAGTATTTATTAATAAAGTTTTGATAATTACCTCCAACAGTTGTTTATCTTTACGGTTGGGAGATCCCTGCATGTTGCTTGTGCCTGCGGTGATGGTTTGAAGTCTAAGGTCTGTCAGTTCCTAAATCTTTTGCCACTCATTCTGCAATGTCTTTCTTACCCATCTCAGTAGACACCTGTTTGCCTCCCGTCCTCTGGTAGATCTTCTTCGTACCAATACGTTCCCGATCCGTTTGCCCGTTTATCAACTCGTCTGAGGTTACCAGTTTGTCCTCGTGTTTCATTTTTGTTAAGAAGTTGACTGCTTTTAGACAGCCGTTTCATCCTTCGTTTGGCATTTAAAATCGTTGGTATTTGAACAGATGATGTTCGTGGGTTTCTTGGCAAGTCAACGGTAGTTTTATGATTTATTTTGACAGTTGAAAACATACAAATGAACAGTGGAGAACTGATGCCTTGAATTGGCAATAAATCAAATTCACGTTTTACATTGCGTTGTTTTTTTCGCGTGGATTTTGAGTATTGTCAAATAGAAAAGATAGAGTTTATTAGACTTGTAACCATGGTGTCAGTGACAAATTTGAGAATTCTCAAAGCACGTGGTGCTGGCGTGATGTAGATGTACTTCAACAGCATTTGAACCCACCGACGAATTTAATTGAGACGTTAATAGAGAGAGAGAGAGAGAGAGGTGAAAGAGAGCTGTCACAGTTTTAGTGAATGGCGCTAGAGTGCAGTACTCACTAAAAATCTGCTGACTTGTTTTCCTGAGATCTCCACGTTCCACTTGTGGCTGTGAAACGCGGCGAGAGAGAGAAAGGATTTGTTAAAAGCGAAAACAATGATTGGAACCGTTGTTCGTGTAATTGTATGGGCACAGCGCTGGGTGGAACGTGAAATCTGGGTCGATTGAATACTCAGATCCGCCAATTCTGTACCCTTTCTTTCATTCACTACTGAATTCAGCATTCCTAAATTTCACTTCATTGAAAAGTGCGAATCTAATGACTCTGTAGCTGTCTGGTTTTAGAGCTCTCCTCCTTCCTTAATTTCAGAGATTCTGCTGAAGTCGTTTACTTAACTTCCTATTGTATTAATCTATTCTCCTTCAACACTGACGCAGAAAATCCTTCTATTTGAAGCCAAGGGGGTCAAGACAATTAGTCACTCCTTAACTATGCTGTTAAGACCAATATGAATCCATTATTCTGGCACCCAACATCTACGTGGAGCTTATGTCCTTTCTAGATGTACACGAGCGTCCTTTGTTTACTCATGCTTCTACTTCTGGCGCCATGTGCATGGAACGATGAAAAGCAACTCCCTCTGTGGACGACTGCACCACCGAAATTCGTGAAACGAATTCTTGTATCCACCTTTGGACATACTCTGATAATTCATTCGATTCATGGTTACAGCATTATGGTGGACGAATACGAGGTGGATGGACAGATGATCACTCCATCGATCGAATTCAAGATTGTGGAACTGAAGGACTTTCACTGTGCTTCATTTTTCCATTCGCCACCATTCCAGGTCCGCATAGGGTAATACACCACTTTATGTACATGCAACCTCATCACTGAACCTCCACGACCTGATAAGGTTTGGAAACTAACGCTCCTACCGCCTTTTGGAGTTAAACACGCTGGACTAAACAAGGCACGGAATCACAACGTGACCCTTTCCATCGAAATTTAACTCTGCTTCTTTCCTCTGCAAGCAGAACTGCACGGGTACTGTGTCGGCCGTCAACCTCCGCCTTTAGCCCAACGAGTGAGTAGAGGGTGGCTATAAACTATAATATCCTTCTTGACCTCAGTTGACGCCTGCTGAGCCTGCATAATAGCTTGATGGTTTGAAATGTATGCTCTTCCTGTTCTGAAGTGTATCAACTAAATTTCTTCTATTTCCTGCAGTTTTGTCTAAAACTGAGCAATTTCTTCTACAAGGCATATGTCTTTACTATCGCCCACTGTTCCACTTTGCAGCGATTAGTGCTTGAAATGGAAGCAACGCGGGGCTCAACTGACGGCTCCAGTCTCAGTCTCCGCTTTGGTTGCATTTGAGGCAAAACTACTAATCTGCCTCAAATTTACAACTCCACATAAATGGTGCCTTTTTTCAAAACAATGTTCCCTCAATAAGAGGTAGGGAAGTAGGTAGGACTCCTGCATCCACCACCAAACAGTTACGTTGCCTCTGTTGAAAACTACGAATCACAGCTCTTCAAGACCCATGTTAGCGGCTTTTTGGTTCCCTTTTGGGCAATCACTCTGGTTGGGGTGCTCTCTGGCTCTCCCATCTCCTTCCGTTTACCTTCACTTGTCTGCATTCGTACGCCTTTTTGAAGGCGATAGACTGAAACTCGGGGTTCGGAGGATAAAATAGGAATTTCTCCAACATTTTTAAACAGACCTGTCTACATGTGTTCGTCAATCGGCGGTTGAGCATAGCACCAAAGCAGTGTGATGACATTCGGTGAACAATTTATTTCTCTGCTCTTTATTGCATATGGCCGCGTGTCTATGGGAACTTGATGCCGTTCAAAGTTGCTAGCCACCACCTAAGGCGTTGAGGATTGCAAGAATATGTGGGATGGAGGAAAGGAAGCTTGCCACCCACCTAGGAGGTTGGAGGGTAATGAAAGATCGTACGATTCATTTATTAATTAAAGTGGACTTTAGCCTTCATAAGTGACCAATCCATTCTTGAAAACTAAAAGGAGGTTTTTGGCAACATCGCGGTGTTGTAGAAGGGTAAAATCCGTTTGAACACGGCGTTATGGATGCAGCCGCTTTAGTCACGGAACAGGTTATTCACCAGTTGATGTTTGTGCCATGCACGATCCGCACTACTAGACTGACGCAACCTCGTCACACCCCTGTCCACTTCCCAACTTCCATGACGGCTTAATGCCTTCATCTCACTTTTGTCCCTGAAGTCCGTTTGAGGTTCTAGAACTGATAGGCAACCCAGAACATTGATGTTATACCATCGCGAAAGTATGACGGACCCTGATGGGGCATTTTAACCGACTGAACGATAAAAACAGAGCCCATTGTGGACTACTGGCATAAAGTCGCTGGAGCTGTGAGTGTTGATGACGGGGATGAAATGGATATCCTGCTACCTTGCAAACCTGGAATTGGTACTCTAGTATAATTCCCTTCACAGACAGTAATTGAGGGGCTAATGCGTCTGAGAGATCAACAAAAGTTTCTAAGACCTCCTGCTATTTTTCTCAACTCTATGGACTACCAGCCTACCACACTACTCTCCTTGGGTGCTGCAACTGTAACAGAAGCTGGAAAGGATAGGTGGCAAGGTGGAAGGGGATATGAATTAGGAGAGGAGAGAGGGGCACAAAATGGATGGGTGGATCGAGAACGGAAGCGAAATGTCAAAATTGGTGACACGTAATTCAAACAATGGAATACAGTGCAGGTCTTACGTGTTGACTTGTGCATGCCGTTACAGGCGGCATTTGCGCCGTCCAGTTACGTCTGCAAGGCGAACATCAGGTATTCAGGAGCTGACCACCAATTCGGTAATTTTTGAGTGTTCAACTGGATTTCGAGTTGGCTACCGTCAAATCTTATTAATGAAAGCCTCGCACTCCCACTGTTCCACCTTGCATTCTTTTCCATCTTCAGTGTTCTTGTCGCTGGGGCCATACGGATGAATGGTAGAGTAGAGTAATGTTTGAGGTTGGATTGTTCTTTCCAACTTCATCATCTTTCCCTTCCGGTTCACATACTCCACTCTTTCTAGCTTCCATTTCCTGCTTTTATTTTGGTGTCACACAGAGGTCTTCTTTCAGTTGTGCTTTCATCCATGTATGCGGTATACAGCCTTAGGGTGTTCTGGTCTACCCATTTGCTTGCTCATTCCACCACAGTTCCATCTGAGGAAACAGTCCTGCCTCTACTTCACCTCACAACAAAACCTCCTCGGGCCAAAGATGAGTGTCTTATACTTGTTGGGGGGATGGATGGTTGGGAATCAGAGAATGCGCCTAGTTGGTAATTTGGGAACGGTCTCCAGTCATTGCATCGCCTCGCCCCTCAAGAAGTTTTCCACTCACGCGAGAGTGGAAAATTGTGTGGAGGACAAAAGAATTGCCAGCACTCAACTTTGTGACACTCATTCGTTTGACAAATTCCGCACATCGCTCCCATAAAATCATCTTGCATTCACGCACTGAATCCAAATGCCCATGTCCTATCACTTCGGAGCAACATTTAAAGGGAATGAGCACTCACCTTCATGTAATATTGTTGGTGAGAGGTGCTACAGAGTCTCTCTCCTCTACTACGTCTCCTACAAAGACGTTTTGAAGGTTGAAAATATCACACATCAGGTCTAGCCGGTGTGGTAAGGTATCACTAGGTATCCTTTTGCTCTTTTCACTACGTGCTTGTAAACTGTTGGGACTGTAGTACAAAGCGACATAAATTACATTAAATCGTGTCGTCGCCGAGACAAGCATGCATTTTTCATCAATACCTAGAATTCGGAATGCTTTTCAAATAAAAAAGACTTGATTAGGCAATGAAGTTCCTTAACAATGGGAGTTATAAATCCACTGTTCGGAGAGCATGTGCGAATGGATTTTAATAAGTAGTATTGCAGAGTATATAGGGAATCTCTACAAAATAATTGAACTTGAATGATGCAAATTGTCATTGTTCGTGACTTTTCCGGCAAATAAGGCAAACATTAGAACAGTGAAGTTATTTAATAGTAATTGAAATCGATGCCATGATAGGCTCTAAAAGTAGCATTTCCCAGAGAAGTATGATTTCTCACACTCATGACAAAATTTTCAATGTTAGAATTTATTCTTCCTTTTCATATTCTACGTTGAAGTAACTTTATGTACAGAAGCGAACAATGGAAGTCAGCAGAGTAGAATAGTGAGAGGTTGGGAACATTTAGCAATGGATTGAACATCTGTTCGAATGGACTTGA